TTAGTTGCCGGCAGGGGTTAAACCCTGACAATAGCATTAATTTCGTTGAGGTAGAAGTGCAAATTTTGACAGTTTTGTAGTTAGAGGGTTTGGGTCCTACATTTCTGTTTGTTACTTGACCTTTCAGAAAGGGAGGCTTAAAAGAAGTATAGAAACTTCTTGGTAAAGTATAATCTAACCTTTCTAACCTGCTCTAGAATCTGAAGCCTGATTTGATAGATGGCTGAAGAAATTAATCCTTGAGAAAGGACTGCAGCTACAGGGGAAAAATATAAACACGATACTTAATTTCTGTAAGCAAGAGTTAACTGTCAGAGAAGAATTAACTTCACTTTGCAGAAGATTTCTGGAAATACGCTGATGCGAAAAAGATACTAGGCTATTTCTACGAAGGTCTTTTGGCCAAGTTCTGCTGTTCTAGCTTTGTCAAATGCTTACTAAGTTCCATGTATAGAATTCCTCTTCAGTAATCTAGGAACTTCTTATTAAGAATACCACTTCTTAACTGTGCTTCTCAAATTGTTTAGTGTCTTCTTATATATAAGACACTTCTCACACCTTCCAACTGTCTACCCCATTTATTTATTTCATTGTCTTCCAACTCTTCTCTAAGACTGCCTTGAAGATACATTAAGTCTCTCAGTGGATTTAGAGCTGAAGTCAAGTGCTTTACCAGGTCAAAACAAACTCACCAATATAGTATAGTAAAAGGAAATCTAAGTATGCATGGGGCATTGCCAAAGGGATACACATAGTTAAGTTATCCAGACGGCTTCTGTCTTCTAACAAAAGAGGTGTGACTCGGTAGTTAATTTTTGCCTGTCCTTGTACAGTTTGTATCATGAGCTGTGAGTAGCAGCAGAAGAAAATGCTTTCTCCACAGAAGATGCAGGTCCCTCATGAAGTAAATGTAAAATTCCAAAATTAGGATTCCTCTGTTACGTTTTCACATTACTTAGAGAAGGTCTGATGTTTCAGTCAAAACAATACAGGAACACAAAGAAAAAGGTGAAATTTTTTTAATAACCAGATTTAATCAGCAGTTCAGAGTGAGGCAAAATAAGATACGAATCCATTTCACTAAGCTCAACACTTTGAAGTGCTTAACTATGTTTTTGCTTTGGGGGAGGGGAAAGACTTCCTTGATTTAACTTTAATATGCTTAGTTCACAGGGGAAGATAAAACAAGTAGTTAGAAATGCAGCTTTAAAAAATAAGATGGTACTCCATGTCATGTTTAAAGACTGAGGTACCTTGTAACTGAAGCAATTTTAGGTCTTCCTCTTCAGTATAAGCTCCTTATTTTTAGGCGTTTTGTAAGATCTGTGTACCAGTTTGGGGATAAAGTAGCATCTGACACAAAGATTAAAGCCAGCAAGAAAAAAACTGCGATTGTGAGATTGCATATACGTAATTGTACTACTGCATGCTGGAGTGCTAATGTAATGTTGAATTATGCCTGCTGCAGATAAAAATATGCATATATATTTTATTAGTTTGCATAAGACAACTGGAATAGGAAACAAAAAGCAAGTTGCTGCTATGCTTACATCAGTAGGAGAGAATGGGATTAGTTTTTACAATTGCCAGAAGAGTACAAATTCAAGCTCCCCCCCCCGCCTTGTGTGTGCGCTGTAGTTTTCAGCTTGAGCATTTGTGGTTGAGAAATCCATATCCTAAATGTGTCTGCAAAGTCTGTTGTGCAAGCTTTGTGAAATCAATATAAATCTTTGAATTTTATGGAATAACTGCATGATCTGTGCTGGGATTATGCAATGAGAGTCTTAAGCATCGATTTGGTTGCGTGATATTGGTTGCAGAAATTCTACATTAACTGGAAGAAGAGTCTGTAAGTGCCATGCAGATGATACGTGCCCTACAGTGATAGTTTCTATCTATTTAATAGAAAGAAAAAACTGTACAAAACTGATGTTTTCCCTTGGTACATGCTTAGAGCTGGATAGTTCAATTCTGGAAAGATTCCAAAAAACTCAGCTAGTTCAAAGACTAAGGCAACAAAGTTATCCAAGGCACAGCATACATCAGTAAACAAAAACTAGAATCTGCGACTCCTGAGTCCAGTTTTCTGTTCTCAACTCTGCCATCAGCTTGTGTAAATTTGGGAAACTGCTTTTTTTATTAAAAAAAAAATTAAATTTCTCCTTTGTTTCCCTTTCTGTCTTCCTGCATTAGAGAGAAGTGCTTAGAGAATAGATGTTAACGTAGTAGT